ATGTTGTACATCCCTGATTCTGAGTGCCCACATTTGCTGAGTGTAGAGTTCAACAACACCAGCATGACCAACAGCTCACAGATGCACGCCTGCTGCACAGAGCTGTATAACAGGTGTGTGTGTGTTTATTACTGTTTATTACTGTTGCCCAGGTAAAACGATATTACAACTCACTCATCTGACCGAGTGGACATTTTCTCGTGCATGTGTGTGTGTTTCATTTGCAGTGTGACAGTGTATGAGCCATGGAACGTGACAACAGGGGACGGATTCAGTCAGAGCAGTCTGCTGGGCTGCTGCACGCTCACGCCGTCTGAACTTTTCAACTGCAGCCTTATGCTGTAAATCACACACTCCAGTGCTATAGAGATGTGCTGTTTACAGGTTAAATCCTTTTTAGGGTGTTTTCCTTTTTTTAAGTTAAGCTTTCTTTCACAAAAAAAACTTAAAAATGAAACATGCCAAAAACGTCCTTTTACCCACACTTTTTGCATTGTTTTATAATGATAGTTTAAAATATAGTGGCTTTTTTGTCATATATCCTTTTCTTACTTCTATTACTATATAGTTTGAAAGTAATACATTTGCACTTTAATATTTCTTTTTTTTTTACTTTTATTTTGTTTCTACGTTGTAGCAATCATTATGTAAACAATCATTTCAAACTGCTCTGATGTGATTGATATTTTCTATGTCTAATGTGTCGTACATGTGTTTCTAAAGCTTGTCAGTTTCTAAATAGTGCAAAAATCTCATGGTACAAAAAACTATATCAGAGTCATTTCCAGCACAAAAATGAGAAAAACTTGCAAAACCTGCTTAATTACAAGCTTGACAGAGAGGATCTAACCTATAACAACTTGATCCTGCCTTGCCTGGAGTGGTGAACTTTTCAGTAATGGCACACTGATTAGCCACTAGATGTCACTGGTGTCTTTTGGTTCCTGTTTAGCAACCTAAACGCTGGATATATCAGGTCATTATGTAGGCACACTGGTTTGACTGGTAGATTGTCCAAGAATCTGGCTCATTACAGCTTTACTGAATTGCTAAAGCACTAAATCCCACTCTGAGAGGCACATGGTCATATTTAATTTTGTAATGCTCTCTTAATAATACCTATTTTCACAGTGAGAGACTTCCAATGCCTTCCAATTAAACACAAGTAAAACAACCATCTCAGTACTTACACTCAGTACTTACACTCAGTTCCTCAAAACTGTTAAAACCAATACAATACAATACATATATGCACCCATTTTCAGCAGATTCTCTATGGCTTCTATAACCAGGACATTGAGACCAGGAGACTCTTCTGTTCTCCCAACAACAACAGGTTCTCATTATTGACAAAGTCCTTTAAAAACACATTTCTTGAACACATAAACATAGATGCAAAATTTGAAGGAATCAGTGGGAATTGGCATGTTCCCAAGCAACACTTTGTCCTATTTGAGCAGGAAACACGTCAAAGCCTGGTGTCTGGTCTCAAGGTGCACAAAGACTTGTAACTTTGGCTAACCAGGAATGTTTAAAGTTACTGGATTTTCATTAATTAACTCTGGATCTTTTTTGCTGTAATGTATTTTTTCACTCCGTGCGTTCAAGATTGCCTCTGGCATTTGCATACTGTAAACATGTTTGCCTATATCTTTGTAATAAAGTGCTTTTTATTCATTCATTCACAGTTAGCTGGAAAATCTGTACGTCAAATCTGTTTTTGATCTAGCTGGTAGTCATATCCCAGTAGAGTTTTTACCCTCTCTGTCTGTATGATCAGAAAACAACGTTGGATTTTTTTAGCGAATATAAAAAAATGTTGAGTTGAATATGATCTTGCCAGAAGTCGCATTCGAAGTGAGTGTAATCTGAAAATGTGATTCTGAACTTTACGGTTTTGAGAAAAACGATGGGAGATTTCAGGAAATGTGAAACAGAACAAAGAGGAAGGTATCATGGCTGTACATTTACAACATCTGCATGTGTGAGATGAGCATGCAATCATGGAGATCACAAATGACAGTCTCTTCATTAATTCCAGCACAAGCAAAAGGTCAGATGGCTCCCTTCTCGGTGGGCAGGAGGTGTGTTCACATGTGCGAATTTCACACACCCACAAAGAGGGAACATTGAACTCAGCCATGAGACACTGACACATAGGGCATGTTTAGGCTCCATCTTAACATTTGCACCTCTAAAAAAAAAGAAAACATGGATCGTTCATTTTGTCTTCATTTTCAGGGAAATCGGTGTGTTTAAAACAACGAGCCGTTTAGTTTAGACGACTTTTCTGCATCTGTAATATATAACAAAAGGAGACAATTTACATTTTTCCTTGTTAACTAATTATAGGAATAATCTCACCAATTTAATAACGTTTTTCTTTGGCACACCATGACCAGCTATGTTTAGCTGAGTTTACTGTCACTGGTCAAAGAAATGCATGTTAAAAAAAAATTCTGGTTTTATCCAGGTACTGAAAAACAGCTTTGTGGCTAATACTGGCACATTAAAAAAATATTATGGCACATTATTTTTTTTATGAGCTAGTTTAAAGATATTCAAATAGAAGGGAAATTAGTAAATATCTTTGGCTGCTCTAAAAGATGCACACACACACCCACACACACACAAACCATCAAATGGAGAGAATAAACTCACCCTATAAGTTTCTTCTCCTTGAATCCTCTGAGATTTAAATCATTTTCATTTTCAAAACACGTTAATCAAACTTATCGTACAATAAAGTAAGAAAGATCTGATCTAAAAATGAGGCTGTGTATATTTACTGTGTATAGCAGACATTCAGCAGCCCTCTTTGTACAGCCAAGTTCTCCCTCTAACTTAATCAGTTCTTAAAAATTGTTTTGTAACACTATGCATGGTTTGCTGGAAGGCTGTGTGGAAATTATATCATATATATCCAATTGTACATATATGTATTTAACAACCTAACTATGGGTTTTTAATCTGACTTACTTACCGAACTTACTTTGTGTTTGAGAGCTTTACCATCAAATCTGTAACAAATTTCACTCTTTAACTTGTATGTTTAGTTGATTTGAGTGTGAGGTTTTTCTCAATGTATTTTTTTTATTATTTCTTTTATAAAATGTAATAATTAAAACAGAATCAGAGATATATTCTACTCTTAGATCAGGATTGGCATCAAAGCATATCAACTGAACAGGAAACCAACTTTGACCAGGGGGGCAAATTTAGCTTATTATTTCATTAAGAAACATTTTTTAAAAAGTGAAAATTTATTTGCAGTCACACAAAATGTGCAGAGGCACAAAAGGTAAATGTACATTTAAACCAGTGCCATAAAAGTTAATCCCACATAATCATACACTGGGCCACCTTTACAGACGTGCACAAAATTCAAACATGCACAACTTGCTTTAAATCACATTATGAACAAGTATCCACACACGTGTGGTATGCTCACAGAGAAACAAAGAGCCATAGTTATGAAAGCTATAAAAGTGCAAACGTATGTGTTGTTGACTGCATGGCGTGCAAAGCAGGAGAGACATTTTCTCTAGGTGCAGATTTGGATTGATGATCTCACCACACACTGAGATGGTTGGGGTCGCTAACTGTAAGTTCAGAACATCCTCAACACATTTCCATTTATTTAACAATTTTCATGTGAGACCGTGCATGAATTGATGAATGATCTCCTCTGAGTTTCAAAGAAACTTGAGTACTAACAAGAGTCTCACTTTCAAAGGCCCACAGGCTCCAAAGTCCTCCTCAAACATGCTCCAGAACTGCTGCACATTCACGAAGCTACTATTAACTGAATAGTAAACTTGAGCTGTTAATTGTTAAAAATCTTAGATTTTACTTTGGGTTAGGGTTCTTTTAGCACTATGAATCTAGCATTTAAGTTAGCTATTGGAAACCTAATGCTAGAGATCCATTATCAAGCTACAGTTAGCTAAAACGTTTCCAAACACAGCACTACTTTTAACTTTGAATATTATAACAGCCTAAAATTTATGTTTAGATATTTGACTTATTAGTGAACATCTACTCTGTGTAAATGTAACCATAGTGAACATAAGGATCCCACAGCTTACCTGTTCTTACTGCTGCATGTCTTATCATTAGCTTTCACTTTTGAATCTTGCCAGGCTCAATTTCACACTTTGGCAGCTTATAGAAAATATTTTTGTCCTTTACTTTGATTTTTTTTGTTAAAGTCAGAGCCACAAATAGTTTTCCCCTCTTTGGGACGCTTAGAACTAACTGTATTTTGCCTCTATGGTGGACATTGATGTCACACAATGCTTTAAGATCAGCTTGGTCACAGAAATCCAACAGCACCATGTTGTTTAAAAACTAGAAATGTGCTTTTCTGATTTCAAGTTACTTCAATAGATGACCTCCAATATTTGCCATACTGGTGAAACTGAATTGAAGATAAGGCGACTGTCCTATGATTTAAGGAGCGACCACAGCCTCCAAAAGCAGAAGAAGAAGAGGAAGAAGAAAAAGAAGATGATAAGATGATGATAAATGGGAGAAGGTAGAAAAACTATGGGTGTCTAGAAAGCTTTGCAGCCTGGCCCCCAAATGGTTTCACTAAAATGCTTTTGATGCAATGTGCATTTTACAGTGTAACCTTGTGGGAAGTAACAGCTGGTCAATTTCGAAAACCAAAAGAGAAGGGAAAGCAAATTCTACCGAGAACATTTCTGTAAGTACGAGGTACATCCAATCTCAAAAAAAAAAAGAAAAGAAAAGAAATTTCCTGCAGCAGCAGAGAGGACATTCAAGGATTAATGGAAAGATAAAGATGGATAGATGAAAAGGCCGAGTATTTAGGAGACTAAGGTTGGTAGATATTGGATTGTCATGTAGCACCACTCAAGAAGAAGAGGGAAGTGAAAGGGACCAGAGATGCACCGAATAATGGAGATGAAGCTGCATCAGCCAGTACTCTAAAAAAGCATACAAAGGAAGAGGAACAGACTGAGGAAGGCTGCTGGGATGACAGAAGCGCGTGGAGTTGGACTCAGGGTCGGCAGAAAACAGAAAATAAAGTTTGGCATGATTCACAGAGGCACTTAAAAGCAAGATAGGAAAAGAGAGAAATAGTAAAAGGATGGATGGATGGATGGATGGATGGATGGATGGATGGATGGATGGATGGATGGAT